GTTCTGGACCCACAGTGCAGAAAAACAAAAATTCAAGCAATGGAAAATAACATTTAAATACTACATTCATAATTAATTAACTGATATTTTAAAACAAACTTCTGTTTATTTTTATTCTTACTGTTATTTTTATTATACACTCTTCCACTGTGTGAATATTTTGAAATTCTACATACTATATTAGATTCACTAAAAATTTGTTCAGCAAATCACCCAAAGATGTAGCTTTAAGAGCTTTATAAAATTCTTACATTCATGGCATATAACATTAAACTTGTAGAACACAATAAAGTAATTTATATGGCTATCTTGCAAGATCAATTTGTAGTTGTTTACTATTCATAACAATTACAGTAGAGCATTGATTATCTGAATACCAATCAACCAAAACATCAGTTAATAAAAATTATTCCAGTCATCAAATCCAAGTTTTCAGTGGTAAGCTGTAGGCCTACTTTAATATACTACTTTATGTAAGGCATGTATTTGTAAGACGTGTGATACAAAATATATATGGTACAGTTTTGTGTTTAATATATTTTTTCATAAATGATCAGTTATCCAAACAACCCCAGTTCTGAATTGTTTCAGATAGTCGATGCTCTACTATATGTACTAAACCATTATACCAAGTGCAATGAAAATTATGAATATTATTTTACATTAAATTTGCTTATGGTTAAATGATAAAAGTAGGTAATGTGTGTTATTCAAAATTATGTACCATGTAAAATGAAAGCTATTGATTTATTTCTATGGATTTTAAAATGGTTCAGTTAAATTAGGTTATTCTACTCAAATATAATATCTTTTGTTAAATTTTAGAAAATTAGTATGTGTCTTTTAGCAAAATAAAAGTGTTGTACTAATTTGTAAGACATTGTATTGTTTTACTATGAGACTTCAGCATTACATTTGCTGACCCCTTGGAATATGTTCTAGTCAATGGGGTAATAGCATATATCAGAGTGGATGAACATTTCTTTTTGTAATATAGCTTTTCAGAATTTCATGTTTTATAAAGTTTTTTTATTTGAATCTAGTATAGATTGAAAATATTTTGTCTGTAAATGAAGAATGACTTGTTTATAAGCACATGATATAGGGATGTTTTTCTTTATTTGATCTCTTTAAGACTGGTCTTTTTTTCAATTTTCAATTCTTTTGACATATAAATGATACTGTATTTTTGTGGAATGACAGGTATGCTAGTCTATCCAGGGGAGACCAGGAAATCAGCTATTTCCATATGGTAAAAGCCAACATGCTGGTTTAACTCAGGGGAATGCCAGCATACCAGTTTAAGTGAGGCTATACATCCTTCTCTAGAGAGCAAATTAAAAAAACAAATCAGTTTTTTATTCTAAAACTGTGAAATTGTCAGTATTACATCAAAAACTATCCATTTGTCTTCTTTATAATGATGTAAATACTCATGGAATTCTGAAAGTGCTTTTTTTGTGTGTGTATTTTATTGTTATTTGATTCAAAAATAAACATATTAAATTTAAGAAACTGACTGTAAATTATCTAAGCTTACACCTATTAACATCTGCTTTGTGTGAAATTTGAGAGGAAGGTGTTATTTTTAAGGTTGGTGTAGATGGTCAGTGTAGCCCACACTGACTAACTACTACTACTACTATTGATATTAGTTAGAAAGTGGTTAATTTTTCTTTAATAATGGCCACATTTTTTGAAGAAGTTCAAAAAGTATTTAGTTGATATGCTAGAAAGAGGTCACATACTTTTTTATGTAAGGAAAACCAAAATCAAGAAAATTAATTTATTTTATGATGGATGCGGTGCAGAAGACAAAAATTACACATTATTAGCAGTAAACTTTCAGATATGATAGTGTATTTTTTGAGATTACATATCTGGTACAGGGTCAGTTATTTTCCCATAGATAGGGCCTTTGAAGGGTGGAAGAAATGTTAAGAAAAACTGAACTGCTTCTTTTACCAGAAGACTACAATAAAATTTTTGAGTGTATAGGACAAGTATATGTTCTTGGTAAAGACTGGCAACTTAGTAATTGGAAACTTGCAATTCATTCACTCTAAGTCAAAAATGGATTTTAAAGTATCTGAAATGAAAGTAATCAGAATAAACACTAAATATGTTTGTTGCAAACATTACCATTCTGATAGATCAGGGATGTGCAAACATACAATGTTAAAAAGAGTTAAAAAATGGTCATGTCTATTAGTTGATTTGTTACCATTGGGGAATAAACTTAAGCTGGAGAAGATAGATGATGTGAAGAAACTTTTAAATAAACTGGGAATAAGTGATGGGCATACTGCAAATAATAACACTTTTCATAAAATGTTATTACATTTTATAAAAACTGTTTTCTTGTTTAGAAAGTAATTGATTCTAAATAGGTACTGTACTGTGACAGAACAATTACAATGATTTTTATTAATAATTTTATATAATAATTAGGTTTTTATTTTCTTTCTTTTGGAATTAGTATATTTTTTAAACACTGTTTTNTGTTTATTTGAAACATATTATAAGCAATGAATAGTTATCATAAATTTTAAAATCTTTCAAAGTACTGTATTGCAAATTTCAAATTATTGTCAACTATAAACTTTTCTCATTTTAAGCTTGTTATCTTAAGTCTTTCTTCATTTCCCATGCTTTTTCAGATGGTATGGTCCATTATCAGGGGTACTACAAACACTGTGTACCCCTGATGATGGACCTGACCATCCAAAAGTGCTTGGGAGTAATTTATCAAGTTATTTATGCCTTTAAGTTCTAGGAGACTTTGGCAAAACAGTGAAAGATAAGTTTTCCCCTTCATTAATTTATTTAATAGTGAAATTCCATAGTTTATAATCGACTACTAATATTTACACTTTCATCATCTTCTAATTTATGTTTATATGATGTGTTTCACTACAAAAAGAATTATTATTCTTGTTGGTTATCTTGTGATGGGTTAGTTGCATATCAAATATTAAATTTTACTTCTAAATTAAAATTTAGTGAAGAGCATCTTTTCAGTGATAAAGTAATGTTCTAATATAAAACTTAACTAATTTAAAAATATTTAAGATGACAATGTTTCTGTATACATTACATAGTGTTGTTGTTTTAAAAATATGTAATACTGTACTATTAAGGTAGAAGGGATAGCTTTAGAAATAAGTTAATTATTCAAAGGAATTTTGATGACATTATATTTGAATTGTTATTTTCAAACTGTATAATTATTCACTTTAAATTAACAACTGATTATACAGCTGTTAGTTTATATTATACATTACTTTGTAAGGGTATGAGGAATACATTTGTTTCGTAGAGTTGGATAACAATAAGCAAAACTTTGAATTAAGACATTATCATCTTGGAAATTAATGTAATTTACAAATATAATGAAATAAAATAAACTACACAAAATAATTATTATATCAATTTTGCTATTATATTTAATGTTTTAATTAAGAATTTTTAATTTTTTTAATCAGAATTTAATAGGTTATTAAGATTTTTAATTCATTTGTTGATTAGAAGTAAATGATTCTAGTTGGCTTTAATTAATAAGCAATATAATTGTATAATAATATAAAATGAGATATTTGCCAAATTTTTGAAAACATTTAGATCTAAATAAAATTTCAATTTTTAAATTAAGAGGCCATTTTTTTCATTATAATTTTGTACTTATACATAAAAATGCTTTTAAAATGAATTATAGACTAATGATGATAAATAATTATTACCCCTTTTAAAGATTATTTTAAAAGAACATCATTAAAAATTATTATGAATTGATATTAGTTTAAAAAGATATACATTGCATTTTAAGCTATATGACCTTTATGTAAATAATTTTCCTAATTGGTTTTAAATGTGTGGTTTTTATTTTTCAAAGTATTTTTTAATATAAATGAAACAACATACATTTAACTCTTGTTAACATTGACTGTTGGTATCCATATTCCACAAATATCTTAAAAATTGCATTAAACTGTTAAATACTATCAAAAACTTTAGAAATTAAACTGTTCATATCACCAATTTTTTACATTCCAGCAGAAATTTTATATTTTATTGTACATACATTTAACTCTGCATAAAGAAAATGTAATGATTATCATCAGCCTTTTTTTCTAGTTGGAAGTAGGTACAGTACTGTACATTGTAAACATTATCACAATAAATAACTGTTTCTTGGCATTAAGACTTTTTTAGACAATAACAATTAATGTCAACTTTCCTTCAGTTTACCTACTAAAATTCATATTATTGTTTTTATAAAGTTTCAATAAAATATAAATAAAATTTTAGCATTTTGTGGTTAAAGGTTGAGGGAGTGGAGAGATAGAGGGGGGGTCATATGTCATATCTCAAATAGAGTCAGTTAATGTAAAAATTTAATTCAACAAGTATAGGCTACATAACTAATGAGGACTAGGAAAGTAAAAGTGAAGTTATTGATAATTGGTGTTATCATCACACCCTTCATCACACTCTCTACTTAAAATGATGCTGTTGCTCTTTGACTGTTTTTGTCAGTTTATTGGAATTCAAAATTCTAAATATGCATTTACTTTGGTAAATTAACTGATTACATTGATAAAACTATACTTAAGAAAATATGCCAATTCTTCATAACAGATTTTTTAAATGACTCATTTTGTGCATGAGAGTTTTTTTTTATTCAATGCATTTGATGATTATTTTGGTATTTTTTTTATGATTCTTTAAATAAAAAAATTATCAGAAAACAAACTGCAGTCTTACAATAATATATATAGTGAAATATTTAACATATCTATGCAATATAACTATCTTTGAAGCAAAAATTTTGTAATACTTGTTAAGATCAACTATCAGTTGTTGCCAACTTTTATAGGCACAGGATTTGATGCTAATAAAAATCTGTTTTATTCTATTTTTTCATTTGTAAACATTATTTAAAACTTATACTATTAATTTTACAATATTATTTTGATTTAATATTATCTTTTTTCTTCCAGATATATCTGTTACAGAAAATATATAAAAAAGGAGAAATTTTATTGACATGGCTCAGTCACCAATATTGCGCAGTAATAAAGTACACACACACTAAACTATTTCTGATTATTGACAGTAGAAAAATGTCAAATCTTCGTAGGCACTTCAGCTTTAGTCTTAATAAATCATCATCATTTGGTTCTTCGGGATCTGGAAGAATGACAGAAGATAACATACCATCTGCAGAAAAACATTTATTTTTTAAATCTGCTTTAATGAATGATATTCGAAGTAGTTTAAATCTTTGTTCTGCTTATATTCAGGTTAGATTAAATAAGTTATTTATCTATAATAATTTTTTATTATTAACATTTTAAAAATTATTTGCTGTACTGTAATGAATGAAATGTTCCAAATTAAAATTTTTTTATTTTATAAAAGTGAAAAATTTAATATATATATTAAATTTTAAATAGTTTTGTTAAATATTTTTATGAAAAAGTAACACACATATATATATATANATTAATTAATAGTTTTTTCTCTTGCTAGTGTTAATATATTAATATATATATATATATATGTGTGTTACTTTATGTTACTTTTTCATAAAAATATTTAACAAAACTACCAATTACCAAACCAGTAAACATTTTACTTTACAGAAATAAGAATAAAAAAATTAATATGTAAATGTTTTCAGAAAGGAAAAGACCATAATCTTAAGCTACCAGTATTGTAAAAAATATTCCAGTATTGTAAAAAATATTGCAATGCGAAATTTGTGTTTACACTAAAAAATATTACCTCAATGTGTGCTACATCAGAATAAAGTTTCAAAAAGTTACATAAATTCATGTACTGAAAAACCTTTTCAAAGGTTATTCTATATTAATTGTTTCAAATCCAGATGAATAACTAAATAATTTTGTTCTTAATGTCTAAAATATTTCTATACTTTTTAATATGATATTTCTCACATTAATTCTTTATCACTAGAATTTTTAAAGTAATGTTAAATCTTGTTCTAAAAGCCTAATGTCTACTAGTTTTGTGTATAAAACTAGTATGCATGCAGTGCAATTATGCTGTTAATATATATGTTAGGTTCAAAGACTGAAAATGCTCAATGAGCTGGGAAAAAATGACCAGACCACTTTGTGGCTTTATAGAAATAGCCACAACAAGAAATTCTGCATCCTGATTGCTTATATAAAACCACAATGCATTCCAGTATTGTAAAAAATATTGCAATGCGAAATTTGTGTTTACACTAAAAAATATTACCTCAATGTGTGCACGCATTATCAACATACATAGAATATAAACATAGAGATGAATTTTAAATTGTATTTAATATAAAGAAATTAAGATGATCTCATCTGCAAATGTGAAATTATTTTTCTCAAACATAACTTAGAATATGAAAAGATGACAAGGCATTAAAATATTTTAAAAGTAATGATTTTCAGTTCCATCATTTACATTATCATTCATGATTTTATTAAACATAAGTATGAAATAGATAATTTTAATTTTAAATAATTTTGATATTATTTTAGTTTATAATAATTATTTAGTCAATGATTATAATATCAGTTTTTAGCCAGAAACAATTCTTAATTAACTTGGTTGAAAAATAGTTAATAAATTTTGAAACAAAAATGTATAGAATATTGCAATTAGTAAATAAGAGAAAAACATGAAAAATTATACAATTTATATTATTTTATAAAAGTGCAAATTTCACTTGTGTATGTATTATTACTTATTACTTACATTACTAATGTAATATTATACTTTCACAATGTTGGTGTTGTAAAGTGTTTGCTAAAGCAGTCAAATGAGTGCTTTTTTACTTTAGCTATTTAGAAGTTTTTAATATTAATTAAAAGTTGCTTTTCTCAAATTTATAATAAACATACTGTATTTACTCATAATACATGGGTGGATCTACATAGGGACTAATAGGGCTTAAGTCCTGGGACAACAAGTGTCAAGGGCCCACAAAAATTTACTTATCATCATAAATTTTTAATACTTTTTCATTAACAATGAGCACTTATTGTATAGTAAAAAATAGTTAATATTAATAATATAATAATAATGATAATTTATAGTATTATTTGTATTAACAAAAAATGGGGTCCCATTGGACTTCAATAAGCCCTAGGCCTGAAAAACCTAGATCCACCTCTGTGTGTATAAGATGATCTCGCATATAGGATGAGGTGTGACTTTAAATATTAAAATAAAGAAAAAATTTGAATTGTATTAATAAATCTAATTATTTCATTTAATCACAAATAAAATATTATCAAATGCACATATTAAGGCAAACAACCATGTTTGCCTTAATATGTGATGAATGGAAAAGAACCAAAACACTATAATGTGCATGACTGGAAAAAGTTTATTTTTAATGATTCAGAATGTGCTAATATTCATTAAAAATAACAATTTAACATATATGAAATAACTATGTTTATAATCATTGCTAATTTCATTAATGATTTTATAAATAACAAGGAACTGTTTTCTGTGGACAAATGAGATGCAATGTGGTTTTTAATTGATAGACATAGGTTTAAACTAATACACCCCTCTTTGTTTAACTTAGTTTGTTTACAGTAGGTGCCAACTTATGATAGACTGTAGAACTATAATGGCAGCATGAAGTAACTATACATAGTTCACAGAAATTATTGCAAAAACACAAAGAATCCTTCTCTTACATGTATAGGATGACCTAAGTTTTTGAAACAGTGAAAAATGATTAAAAACCCTGTCTTATACATGAGTAAATACAGTATATATCAAACTATAAAGAAAAGATGCTTATTTTATAATTTAATTTTGTTGTGATTAAAATCGAATATAGAATATAAATTTAAAGATTAAGTCATAAAATGAATATTGTAATAATATTTCAATGATACATTTCTACTTTGTCTAATTTTACAACTGATATAAACAACTAATGGCATCTCAAGGTCACATTTCCTTCAAAATCTATACAGTCTATTTTTTAAATTAAATTATATCTCAATATAAAACTACTAATTGGCATTTATAGTTTAAAAAGTTTTGTATATATGTTAAAACAATAATAATTTTTAAAAGAAAAAGTTCGTACTTATGATATTTTTTAAAAATTTCAGAACATAGTGAAATTTAATTTAGAATTAAAAAAGAACAATAATACATTTTCACAATGCTGTATATATTTATTTAAAGATTCAAAGCAAAAATAGTTAATCATATTTAAATATAAATAATTTTATTTAATTGTTCTTTCCAGGACCAAGACTAAACAATTGCAATATTTATGCAAATTATTCAGTTGTAGGTTGGATTGAATTTTTTTAAATTAGTGAAATGTTGCAAAAAGTTTTTTTAGATAATATAAGACTATATAAAAAACTATTATAGGCTGTTATCATATACAATAGATTAAATACATATAGCAAATTATTACAGAAATAAGGGAACTTTCATGTAACTATAAATTTCTTAACAAATCAAAACATGTTCTGATAGTTAATAATATTTTTTGTTGGAAAAGTATTTTTATTACAAAATTAATTAATCTATTTTCATAAAAATATCATTTCCTAGAACAATAAAAATCTTCAGAATTATTTTTGAAATCTTTGAAGTCTTTTTTCTGTATGTTGTATAAATGTGAAAAAATTGATAATTATTCAAGTAAGATATAACATATAAGGGAGGATATTACAGTCATATTTAATTCATTTAAATTCTGAATTCTATTGTGCAACATCCATACATTACATAATTCAGTTGATAACTCCTTACTGACTTACTGATGCTTGTTACTTTTTAAAATATTTTTTATTTTTTAGCTTCTTTACAATAGTATTTTTAGTAGTTTTCTTTTGACTCCAAGCTGTTATAATAAATTATTCCAACTGTAGATATCAAACATTCACCATAGATCTGTTCCAAAATTGGTGTCTTTATTATTTAAAATCTTTATCTTACTTTTAAAACTCACTCCTAAATATTTGTTATCAGTTTGCCAATTTGTCTTAAAAGATGTGAGATAATGGTAGTATCAACATTAAATAAATTATATTTTAACTGGCAGATGAGCCTGGCATTGCTCGGACAAAAAGTAACAATAGCAAAGATTAAGATTATTAGATTATAGACTATCTTACCCATTTTCACCAAGTGCAAGAATTAGGTCTTCCACTTATGAGACTAATTAGAAAATTTTTAGATATCTGCTTACCAAACTGGGATAATGATAATTAAGACTCACTGCAACCACTAACCGATGCGTAGTACCAGTAAGTGATGAAAAATAAATGTTATTTCTGGTTTAAAATAAGCTGGATCTTCCAGAAACATTCATAAATATAAATTTGAACATGAAATCAAACATTAAGATGAAGAGTTAGAATAAAGCGAACTTATGTGCATGTGCTCCCTGTGTCAACTTTATATATGATGGAACACTTACTATCATTGAGAATTTTTAGAAGGTTCTAAAAATACATTCGATTTCTTGCATAAATGCAAATATGACATCTAAAATAGGACAGTAGAAGCTGAGTTCTTTGGGGTAATCCTTAACCCTCTCCCCTGCAGCGCACAGTGAAAATTTCGAAAAATTCCTTCTTAATGTGCATTCTCATGGCATGCCCTATTAAAACACAATCAAAAACACAAAAACCAAATCTAAAATAGTATAATAGAAGCCAAGTTCATGGTAAGCCTTAATCCTCTCCTTCTCCCCCACAGGGGGGATTTTGAAAAATCCCTTCTTAGAGTGCATTTTCATGATGTACCGTAACTGTATGCCAAATTTCAACTTTTGACTCCTAATAGTTTGGACTCTGGGCTTATTATTATCATTATCAACCCATCTCAATTATATTATAAGATTATATTTATTTGTTAATTATATTTATATTTTTTAGTAATATTTTAAATTGAAGGGATATTTTCAGTGATTGGCAACTCATGTCGTGCAGAGTGATTTTTAATGGCATACAATAGGTTCTGGACCCACAGTGCAGAAAAACAAAAATTCAAGCAATGGAAAATAACATTTAAATACTACATTCATAATTAATTAACTGATATTTTAAAACAAACTTCTGTTTATTTTTATTCTTACTGTTATTTTTATTATACACTCTTCCACTGTGTGAATATTTTGAAATTCTACATACTATATTAGATTCACTAAAAATTTGTTCAGCAAATCACCCAAAGATGTAGCTTTAAGAGCTTTATAAAATTCTTACATTCATGGCATATAACATTAAACTTGTAGAACACAATAAAGTAATTTATATGGCTATCTTGCAAGATCAATTTGTAGTTGTTTACTATTCATAACAATTACAGTAGAGCATTGATTATCTGAATACCAATCAACCAAAACATCAGTTAATAAAAATTATTCCAGTCATCAAATCCAAGTTTTCAGTGGTAAGCTGTAGGCCTACTTTAATATACTACTTTATGTAAGGCATGTATTTGTAAGACGTGTGATACAAAATATATATGGTACAGTTTTGTGTTTAATATATTTTTTCATAAATGATCAGTTATCCAAACAACCCCAGTTCTGAATTGTTTCAGATAGTCGATGCTCTACTATATGTACTAAACCATTATACCAAGTGCAATGAAAATTATGAATATTATTTTACATTAAATTTGCTTATGGTTAAATGATAAAAGTAGGTAATGTGTGTTATTCAAAATTATGTACCATGTAAAATGAAAGCTATTGATTTATTTCTATGGATTTTAAAATGGTTCAGTTAAATTAGGTTATTCTACTCAAATATAATATCTTTTGTTAAATTTTAGAAAATTAGTATGTGTCTTTTAGCAAAATAAAAGTGTTGTACTAATTTGTAAGACATTGTATTGTTTTACTATGAGACTTCAGCATTACATTTGCTGACCCCTTGGAATATGTTCTAGTCAATGGGGTAATAGCATATATCAGAGTGGATGAACATTTCTTTTTGTAATATAGCTTTTCAGAATTTCATGTTTTATAAAGTTTTTTTATTTGAATCTAGTATAGATTGAAAATATTTTGTCTGTAAATGAAGAATGACTTGTTTATAAGCACATGATATAGGGATGTTTTTCTTTATTTGATCTCTTTAAGACTGGTCTTTTTTTCAATTTTCAATTCTTTTGACATATAAATGATACTGTATTTTTGTGGAATGACAGGTATGCTAGTCTATCCAGGGGAGACCAGGAAATCAGCTATTTCCATATGGTAAAAGCCAACATGCTGGTTTAACTCAGGGGAATGCCAGCATACCAGTTTAAGTGAGGCTATACATCCTTCTCTAGAGAGCAAATTAAAAAAACAAATCAGTTTTTTATTCTAAAACTGTGAAATTGTCAGTATTACATCAAAAACTATCCATTTGTCTTCTTTATAATGATGTAAATACTCATGGAATTCTGAAAGTGCTTTTTTTGTGTGTGTATTTTATTGTTATTTGATTCAAAAATAAACATATTAAATTTAAGAAACTGACTGTAAATTATCTAAGCTTACACCTATTAACATCTGCTTTGTGTGAAATTTGAGAGGAAGGTGTTATTTTTAAGGTTGGTGTAGATGGTCAGTGTAGCCCACACTGACTAACTACTACTACTACTATTGATATTAGTTAGAAAGTGGTTAATTTTTCTTTAATAATGGCCACATTTTTTGAAGAAGTTCAAAAAGTATTTAGTTGATATGCTAGAAAGAGGTCACATACTTTTTTATGTAAGGAAAACCAAAATCAAGAAAATTAATTTATTTTATGATGGATGCGGTGCAGAAGACAAAAATTACACATTATTAGCAGTAAACTTTCAGATATGATAGTGTATTTTTTGAGATTACATATCTGGTACAGGGTCAGTTATTTTCCCATAGATAGGGCCTTTGAAGGGTGGAAGAAATGTTAAGAAAAACTGAACTGCTTCTTTTACCAGAAGACTACAATAAAATTTTTGAGTGTATAGGACAAGTATATGTTCTTGGTAAAGACTGGCAACTTAGTAATTGGAAACTTGCAATTCATTCACTCTAAGTCAAAAATGGATTTTAAAGTATCTGAAATGAAAGTAATCAGAATAAACACTAAATATGTTTGTTGCAAACATTACCATTCTGATAGATCAGGGATGTGCAAACATACAATGTTAAAAAGAGTTAAAAAATGGTCATGTCTATTAGTTGATTTGTTACCATTGGGGAATAAACTTAAGCTGGAGAAGATAGATGATGTGAAGAAACTTTTAAATAAACTGGGAATAAGTGATGGGCATACTGCAAATAATAACACTTTTCATAAAATGTTATTACATTTTATAAAAACTGTTTTCTTGTTTAGAAAGTAATTGATTCTAAATAGGTACTGTACTGTGACAGAACAATTACAATGATTTTTATTAATAATTTTATATAATAATTAGGTTTTTATTTTCTTTCTTTTGGAATTAGTATATTTTTTAAACACTGTTTTTATTACCTTCAGTCATATGAACAAGGTTCGTATGATTTTCATTTTTGTTTTGTATCTTATTTTGTATATTCTCTTTTGTTTTTCTATATTAAAAGTTTTTTGACCATGTATTTGTTATTTTTTATTACATTATCCATTTAAATGCTGCAATTTTGTTTCAAAGTGGTTTAAGTCCATGATTTGAAAACCAAAACTACCATTTCCCTCATTTCCCTTGCCTCAGGATTTTTTCCACTGCTAAACCTATATTCAGAATATAAAAATAAAGTGCTGTACCAATAATTAAGTTTTTATCTTAACATTTAAAGCAATTATTTAAAATTTGCATTTTCTGGAGATATGTCATTTTGGAAATAAGCTTTTCATATACTGGGTGATTTGTAATTAAAGTACACCCTGTACAACACTGTTTAGAGATATACAGGGTGAGTCATAAGTCTCCATACAAATGGTGAAAGTGGTGACTAATGTTTATTTTATTCATACAAATGGTATGATATGATGCCAACAGAATAATGTCAATCCATTCTTCCTTTGTTAGTGACATTTCTTTTCAATTGGTTCACCTTCCTGAAAATGAAAAAGAAATTAGTCACCGCTTTCACCATTTGTATGGAGACTTATGACTCATCCTGTATTTAGCAGTCCAAGTGCACCAATTTTGGTATAGTGGCTGTTCAGGAAATGTGGACGATATTTTCATTAAAAAAAATTAGTACCAAAACTCACTGCTACTATTAGACCAAATTATGTAATGACTAATAACGTATACATCGTGATTCAATTAATAAAAGTATATCAGAAAGCATTTATTGACTTTAATGAAGGAAATAAATACTGAAAAGTTTATGCTTAGTATAATCATGTTATATCATAGTAGTTAAACTAATGAATTTCTTTATTAACTGGAAAATTAGTAATGAATGCTGAAGTTTCTGTTCTGTTTGTTACAGTTCTTAATAATCAAGTGATAGAGCCACATTAACTATCATTTGATTATTAGTATAACTCAAGTTTGGATATATATATATATACATACATAGATATATATATATACATACATACATACAGTTCTTAATCTTTGTTTTTCTAAAACAGTTTTATTTGTTTTGTTAAATTTTTCAGAAGTTTCTCCAGTTGTCTTTTAAAGTAGTAACCAGTTAATCTTGTCTTTTGAATGGTGTTCTTTCTCTAGCACTTGATATTTAATGATCTAGTTCATCCAGATTTTGATATTGTAAATTTTAACTCTGTAAAACTTTAATTTCAGGATTAAAAGTGTAGATTCTGTCTGTTCCAACGTAAATAGTATGTACTGGATTGTTGTTTGTTGATAAAGATATGAATTATCAAAGTACTGCTACAGTATGGCTAACTCAACATTTTCAAAACATTCAAATATGTTTTGGCCTCCATAGCTTTGTCCAAATGAATTGCTTAACCAGGATTAAATATGGAAAAATAATACCAAATTAATATTCTGTTTCCATGAAACCTAATTATTATGATAAAATAATAGTGTATCAAGAATTGTACTAATTCCAAAGTACTTGCATCTTTAGTTTGGTATCAAAGAATAGTGTATTTTATATCAGATTTGATAGTAACTGCATGTCCATTAATGTTTAGTTCACATGGTTCAATACACATTATACAGTAATGTTGTCATCTTTTTCAATTTTGTCTGAGAATAAATATAATAATAATTGTCATATAAAATTTGTCGTTAACTTGAATCAACATAGTGTTTTCTAATTTAAATTTTTTATAAAAAATTATTTAATATCTTAAAAGATTAATGAAATTTAGAAATATTTATTACTATAATTATGAATTAGATTAAATGATAATGTTGTTTGTTATTTAAAATTTAATATTCTTTAATAAATTTTATTTTTATAAACTATATTTTAGGCTCTTAATTCTTTGTGTGATGCTGGTACCATGTTAGCTCGGAATTTGCTTCAGACTGTACGTGATGTGCCATCATATCGAGATGTTGCTACTCAGTTTTTAGGTGCTTGGGAGGATGTGAGCAAAGCTACAGCTGGAGCAAGTGCAGATGTAAAAACAAAAACTTTAATAATGTTACAAGATGTTTTAAATAATTTAGAAGGTGAAGGTGATCATTTAACTACTGAAACTACAGCATTAGCAGAGAGCATTAAAGTGAGTTACATTTTATGATAGTAAATAACTTCAATCTTATTGTGATGATCTATTGAAATCTTGTGTAATTATTTAAATATAAATAGAATATTTAAATAACAATCAAGCTATTTCACATATTATTTATTACTGTCAAAAAAGTATGAATTTAAACAAGTTTAATTACAAGATGAATATTTTCAGATAGAGACTATATACATTTGACTGGATATAAATTAATTTGTTTAATTGTCATTAGATATATGTAAATAAATTTTTGTAATATTGGTAAAAACTGTGAAATGTATTTCTTAACTTAAAACATTGAGATATCTTGACAAGACTGTCTTGTTTATAAAATCATGCTGCCGTCAACAGGTACACACCTTAGAGGTATGAAGGAATACATGTCAGTAGTTGCAATCAATAGTACAATTTGGTACAGAGTATTAGGTGCCCAAATCATGTGCACATTAAAAAAAATCAGACTTATAGGTACTCAGGGGACTGAGAAACGAGTCAAAATAAAATATAAAATGACAACACTCTATAAACAGGCACTAGTGCAAGATTTGCGCGTGTGTTGTTCATTTGGAAGTTGGAAATGCGAACGTTGCAAAATCGAATTTTGACAAATGCATGCATGGGGAAGTTCAAAATGTGAATGTTGTGAAATCGAATTTTGACAAACGAATCTTTGAAAAACCCATTTACCTGTCCCGTGTTATTCCCGACATATCTCTGCTTGTGATGTGCTGACCTTGACTAGTTCACCTGAGATATCTCATTTGAGTATTGGAACATTTTTGAAAATAGATGGCACTAATCGTTATAATTTTATATTATAAAACTAACTTCCAAAATATAATTTTTTTGTTTTTATATTTACTAATATTTTTATTTTGTTTGTGCAAACTAAAAAAATAATTTTGGACAATACAATAGCCACAATTATTTTTTTCAAAAATGGGAAATTTTCATTAGGTATCAACAAAAATTCAGCCTGGGACGATATGTAACAAAAGAGAAATTTCGACATTGAATAGGTTAATTTCACTGAAAATGCCTTGTGATCATGACCATGGCTGAGGCCAGCAAAGTTTGAACAATTGTGCTCAAAACCAGTGATACTAAAGATTGGAGAATGACAATGAGACCTGCCATGAACGTCAAAGTGATCCCACTTACTGTAGCCAAGACCAGGCCCGTGACAACGCAACCTGTCATAACCATGGTGGTTACGACACCCACTGTAATCTATGCCAGGACCCCAAGTACTGGTGTCAACTTTTCCTCATTGGAGTACTCATTTTTCTCTTTTCTTGGAAAACAGTGTGCAGTCGAGCTTTGAGTCTCTGAGACATAGTCTTGTCCCAAAAATGGCTTTGACATTTTAATTGTTTTAATTATAAAAATGTTTAAATAATTAAGTTGACATATTTTTCTCTGAAAACTCGTTAGTTTGATTTATAAAAATGAAATCAGCCACATGTATATATTACTAGATTTAAAAGTTCCTAGAATTTCTTTATTATACAGGAATCATTAGTATTACCATTATTTAAATTAAATGTTCTTTAAAATAGCTTTATTGTACAGTCATATTTGCTGGCATTCTTAAAACTTTAGAAAGCAGATCCCTCTTTTTGTTTTTTTATGAGAATATACAGAATTCTCTAGTGATGTCATATTTTGCTTTGCTAGGTAGTGCTAGATATAAACTAATGGTTTTAATCTGATAATATAAAAACTGCATATCACTCCTTATTAATTAAAGATTGATGTATGGGCACATTGTTATGAAGAAGCTATAATAGCCACTATAGTGTTCATCATACACACATAAACACGAAAACAATTGTTACAGAAACATTTATGCTTTTCATAAACTGTGATTTCTTCATTGCTATGTCACTGTAAGCTTGCTGAAATATGTTTAATGTCTTTGATGATGAGTTTTGAAGCAGAACATAAAATCTGATATTTGCACATTCTTTTAGAATGGTCCAGTGAAATCACTGCTGGCAATTCATACACACTAATTCCTGGTAATATGTGGATTCTCAATTGCTCAACTAATCATTACATTTGAAAAGTTGCAATGTTGATAATTGAGTCATTTGACTTATATGTAGTCTTATCACTCCAAACATCTTGTTTGAAAATTGTGCCCTCTGCACATTTTGCTAGGTACACATAAAATTCAACTTTCCATGATGACCATCATCATTGAGGATATGGACTAATGTTGAAATAAAATGCTTCACTTCAAAATGCAATGAACATTTAGTTTTGAAATTCCTCTCTCACAAACCATTTGTTTAATAGATTTCCTTGGATGCTGTGGTAAGTTTCCAGCAACTTGTTTTCTTTTGTGGGGATTATGGACATTTGTATTCATCTGGAACATTTCTATCTGCTTCAAATTTATCTCTAATTTGAGCAATGGTGAGTCATATTGGTGGATAACAAACTTTTTTTTAAACTGTCCTTGAAGTTTACTTAAATTCTGACACTTCCAGTAGCACTTTAGAAGAGTTTCTTTCTCAAAGCTTAGTTTCATTTCAGCCATTATTTCAAACAGTTATAGGATCAATGTGGGTAAATATGAGGCACTTCTTTCAAAACTTTTGTAATGGAATTTGTTAGGATTAGTATTTTACAAAGAGAAATATACAACAAGGTCTAATAGAGAGTGTTAAAATCTAATGGAGTATTCATTTTTTCTGTATGTATGAGAAATGTTGGGCAAAAGATTTTTTTTTCCTGTCTCATATTTTACTTTCAAAAGGTAAAATATGAGATACCGGGAAATGAAAAATGAGACCATTAAATCACCATAAGGACTTGCCTATGCCAACAGGGATGTTAATAATGAGTTACTACAGGTTAAATGCAAGACATTTTTGTATAAAATATTGCTCCATGATATTTAGAAGTAAGTAGATAAGATTATATATTCATCAGTTTTGAAAAGTGTCTCATATTTATCCACATTGACCCTACTTTTTAATTTTTCTCTGATAATTGTTTGGCATCTTTATTATTTCATTCAAAACTCACACCTATAAGAACAAAGAAATATTTTTACTATGATACAGCACAACTGAAGTAAAAAAGTTTCATGGAAATTAATTTAATGAGTGGTGAATAAAATCTTTTTTATCTCATTTAGAAATGCACAAAACTCAGACAAATGATATATGCAATAAAAACAACTAGCAGCTGAAAGTTGTGTTTATATACTACATACAAATTTCTAATTAAATATCCATGTCTTTTGCAGACATGTACAGAGCTAAAGTTAGTTGAACTCACAGAAAAGTTTTTGCATCTATTTTTGTAGTGTTTCTTAAAAATTAAAAAGACTCAATGAAATCATAATCATTTTCATTCAGAAAAGTTATATGTTAAAAAGCACTAAATAAACTTTATTTTGTATTAGTACTGGACAGATCAGACATAGATTAAGTCAAATTTCACAACTGTCTCATATTTTCCCATTTTTCGGACTCTCATATTTACCCACATTGATCCTACTTCAAATGAACAAAAATTTATTGAGTTAACAACCATAAAAGTTTGTATACATTCTTTTGGGGCATTCTTTATTTAGAATTATTATTTTTATGTGAAAAATCTTTATATTTCAATGCAATATTATCATAATTGGATGATTATAATTGTTGTTAACTTATTAACTAATTATTTAATTCATCAGTATTCTTTTTCTGCCCTTCTCCCATTTTATCTTTAAAACAGTTATTGTACAATTGATGTAACAAATGTTATTTATTTAACTACTGTAAGTGCAAGAAAATAAAGATTAAAGTAATTAATATTTAATATTTAAAGCATTTTTTTAAGACTGATAATGACAACTGAAAATGCTTGCATATTATCTGTTATATGTTGGAGCTAATAGTATGACATGACAACTTAAAAATAGCTATTTTCCTAAAGATAATGAATTATAACCAAAACTGTAATTACAATATGCCATGTTTTATAAAAGTATTTGAATTGTATGTTTTGGAGCATGATAATTTTGATAACATTAGCATTAAACAAATGATGGTAATATCTATGATTACAATAAGCAGATATATCTATACTTTTTATTAAAGTCTGGATATCAAATATTGTTTGAATGTCATCTTTTAATGTTATAAAGATCTTTCATTGAGTAGTTTTTCCATTAAGAAGAATTAATTATAAATTACAGCTATAGTAGAGGAGATATTTTACTTGAAAGCTGGTGTTCATTGGAAAAAAAGAAAGCAAAAAATGATTAAAATAATAATAAAGATTACTATTTCATCCAAGTTAAATATCTTTAAAAGTGATCTTCAAGTGGATCATGTTATAAATAAGAGAGAGAGAAATATTTCATGTAGTATGATTGGTTGTTTTAATTAAAGATCAAAATAATAGTAATTTTAAATAATATATATAAGTACTTTTTAACACATTTTATATATATAAGTACTTCAAAAATAAATACTATTGAATATTGTTTTTTTTTTCATAATACTAATTTCTGAATTATAATAGCTTGTAAATTTGAGAATAGTAAATAATATAACTTAAACAATTTTTGATAGGTCAATAAATCTTTGATCAAAAGCTTATTAAATTATTCTAAATCATAATTATTAATTACTAAAGATATTAAAAGATAATTATCATATAATAGATTAAAATTTCTGATTTTGGGAAACTTATCTTGAAAAGGAGAGATTTCTGGAAATACTATAGAAGTTATATTATGTTGTTATCTAGTCAAGAGAAGTTTAGTTGGCAAGATTTTGAAATGGATATTCAGAGTAGCAGTTTAAATCTATTTTTTAATGCTTGCTTTTACCTTCTTTGACTATAGTTTTAAATTAATGTCTGAAGATAAGTGAATTCTCTGTATTTTCTTTGTAAATCATTTGTTGTTAAAATTAAAAATTATTTTTATATTTTATTAACATTCAAAATATTAATATATTTTTATTAATATTCATTGATAACTCAAAATAAAAAAAATTATTAAAATATTTTTATGTATTTATAGGTTATTGGTATATGCTTGTTTTCATACATTGAGCTTCAGGCTCAATTTTCTTTCTCTGCCTGGAAATCATTATCTAAACTTTCAAAGAATCTCACTCTTGATAATTTTGGAGTCAGTTTAGATAGGACTACAGAACACAAGTCAACTGGTGATCTGAATGGAAATTCCAAATTTTCTGATTTAATTACAACAATAAAGAAACATTTTGCTCACTTGATGAAATTTGGAAATTTCAGAACAACTGACATACCTGATATTTCTCATAGCCAATTTTATGTTGATTTCTTAGATCAAGAAACAGCAGCTTCATTAGCATCATCTGAATCATTAAATCATCAGGGAAAAATTGTGGGTAGTGCTGGTTCACCTCCCACAACTTGGTTGCCTGCCAATAATTTTAGACCTTTAGGAAATAGTCCTGTTTCAGCTACAGGTTTACAAATGCAGCATTCACATAAAGGTTAGTAAAATTCTTAATATTTTATACAATTTAATAATTAAAGAGAAATTACTGATGATTTTTTTCTGTAGTGATTACAACTTTTTAATTTAATGTATGAGTTAATTCATTTAATTATTTTCTACAGTGTTAAAGAAATTGGAAGTATTTTGGGATTTATAAAAATGAAAGCAATTTAAAATTTAGTGTAAAATTTACTAATTTGCATGATTATAAATATCATTTTTAAAATTATTACTAAATAAGTTATTTAATAGTCCATGAAAGTTTATCAGCATTGGTAACATACATGTCACTACAGTTTGAGTATTCGATTTAATAATTAAATTTTGAATGGCCCAAAGAAAGTATATGCGGAGCAGTATTTAAATCTACGACCCTTATTTGCTGAATAAGTATATAATCAACACAGTAGATTCTTACTAATTCAGCCATCAATTATCTAGCATATCCTCTAGTATGATTACCTGTGTGTTTCTGTTTAAAATACAGCACACGGTCAGCATCCCTATGTAAAAATGTCATGTCACACATACTATTGTTTTTGATTTAATTTCTGTGTACAGTGTTGCATGTCAGCATGCCATACTGTTTACTGCTTACCTCCTCCAAAAAGAATCAATACCAAAAGGCAACAGGTCATGTCATTCATTGCCTTTGGTAAGTGTTAGGATTATACACACACAGTAATCTTGCACTCTTGCTAATCTCACAAGGAATGTCTGTATTAACTACTGTTTACTTAATCTACTGTATTTAAAAAAAAAGGAAAAATTTTTTCATGGAGAAAAATTAATAAATTTTATTTATTTATATTTGAGAAATGTTTTAATGGAAATTACTGGATAGCCAATGTAGTGAAGGCATCAACCTATTGTTCTGGAGATCCAGAATCATATCTGAGTTTCCCAAGTATTTTTCATTTGCAGTCTATTCTGGATATGTCTATTCTTCATCACCTGATCATTCTATTGTGAGTCTGGCCCAAGCAATAATGGACATTGATTATGTCTGCAGGACAGAGTGAATTAAATGCTTTAATTAATAAAATTCATCATTAATTTTTAATTTTTATTTATCTATTAATTTTTTCATTAAAGCAAGTTGTTATTTTTTATTTTGTTTGGAGTTATAGTTTAGTGTCACTATTTGTTATCTGAACATGTTAGACTAGATCATCGTGAATTTAGACTGACATAACTGTGGCATTAGAAATTAACAACTCCAGTTTCAGTATGAAATTTGTGAATTTTATTTTTAATAATTGTTGATTTTTCAAAGATTTTTTTTATTAGATTCCTTTAAATATAGAATGTCTATTATAAAAGGTGTTTAAAAAGTAATATCCACCTAACTTAGTTCCACTTTAATATATTTTATTCACAGTAATTTTTAAAGTACATTTTTAATGTATTTGTGGTTTTTCTTTAGAAAGGATGTTGAAAATGACCTTCATTAGCATTTAAGCATGCATTTATTTATTTTTTAATCTTAATGTCAAGCATTTTTTAAAAAATTCTTTCCTTGTTATGCTTTCAGTGTAAGCTGTTATTGTAGCTTAAGAGTTCTTGAATGTGAGTTATCATCATGCATATTTTGCAGTTTTCCAAAAATAAAAGTTAAATCATGGGACCTAGGAAGTCACAAGATTTTAGCTTACACAATCATTAAAAGTTTTTCATGAGAGTCATTGATTGTCAAGCACTGTGTGTTATGGTGTCATGTTGCTGAAACTATGCATTGTTTATTTTGTACTCATTTAGTTCATCAATGAACAGGTTCAGAATATCACTGAAGTAATAAGTGTTTATGGTGTCATAAAAGAAAATGGGGCAAATTATTTTTTTTGCTGATATTGTCATCTGTAAGACAATTTTTTGCTTAAAAAGAAGGATTTAAACTGGATTTGCTGCTGTTCTGAGAATTTATGTAGCCTGACAGATGGATTCATGCTTTATCAGTAAAAAATGTCAAGAATGTTTTCAGTGTGGTCTTTGAAAAATTATTGAAACCAACAGCAGTAATGTCTGCACTTTTGATGATCTGTTTGCTTTGATTCTTGTACTGCAGTAACTTTATAGGGTAAAGTTTAAGTTTTTTCTGTACCATTGCATGTGTATTGCAACTCTAAAGTGATGCTGTTGTGCCTACTTCTGAACTGATTTTGAAGGACTACATCATTGAATCACTAATGTCAAAAAATTTATCTGCACTGAGTACAGACAGCCTTCTATTACATTGAATGTTTTGAACTGAGATTTTTTTGATTAATGCATGCATTGAATATTGATTTAGAACTTATATGTCAAGAAAATTATAGGAAAATTGTTCTCTAACATCTTCCTATACCATGCTCCTCAATAGACAAAATCATATTTGATACATTCCAGGTTATAATTGAAATGAAATTGACCATCAGTACTACTAACCATTAAATTCAAAATTGTCTATCCCATAATTTCTGTATATCCCATCAAATAATTGCTATATATATTAAAGATATTAAAGTGTCAGTAGATATATAATTACTGTTTGAAAACCATGTACACTAATAATTGATCTGTACATTTACTAATTAATTTTATTATATATTGCCTCATAGAAAATGCCACACTATAAAAGATTTTATGACAGCATTATGCAAATTTCAGGGTATATTCAGACAAACAAGTTATACAAATTGATGCAGTTTCAGGCTAATCACATAATCTGGGAGCATGATAAACAGGGAAAACCAGTCTGTAAAACTAACATTGGAGTTGTTGTCAAGCCCAAGGAAACTGTTTTGTGTCATTGTTCTTCATGTCTGGATAAAATGAATGAAGATGCTGTCAAGAGCCATTTCATCAAATGGACAAGTTTACTAAAGGTTTCATCATAGATCTACATACAGCCAAGTGGTTTATGCATTGTATTTTAACACAGACTACAGGATGCCATAACTGTGGGTCAGATTTGGAGATGATGGCCAGTAGAAAGAAATGTGCATCATCATAATGGAACTGGAGTACTGAGACAAACATTGCAATGCATAGGCTGATGCATCCAGCACCATGTAATAAGAGCTCTACAATCCACAGCTGAAAATATTGTACAATTTATGAATAAATTTGGTTGCTCCAGTATCATCAATGACAGTTTCTTATGGATTGGCTAAAGCAGGTTTGGAGTCAAGCCATCTCTTGTGAAGACTGCCTTTCACATCATTGTCATGAGTGCTTGCAGTAGTGTCATTCCAGAGCTATCTGTCATTATGAATGGGATAGTGGGCTGTTCAGCAACAAACTAAGATTGTCTTAGCAGTGATGATTACCAAGCAAGAATCTGGAGGCAACATGGCAATCAGGCTGACCTTTCTGTTATTTTGAAGTGCCACACAATTTGTCACATTTTGAGTCATAGTTTAGGGTATCATCAGCATCAACAGCCAGTCATCTCTGGTATATATCAGGGACACACAGATGACATGAACCTGCTCAATTAGGGTATTGAGGTGCTGCAACTTGTTGTACTATCATATCTTCAGAATATACCCAATACCATTTTTCAGCAGAATAATGTGTGGTCACACACAATGAACATCAGTAGGCATACTTTTCAAGATGCCCAGGTGATTCCTTGGCCAGCTTGATCATTGCTCTCCAATTGAGAATCTGTGGGATACAATTGGATGTTGAATAAATGCTCTTTCACAGCCTTGTAATGAACTGTGGACTAAAGTCAGTATCAAATGGTCAACATCACCCCCAAGATAGTATTCAAGCACTCATTGAATCAATGCCATATTATTTTAATAAATGTATCACCAAATATGGTTGCCTCACTGTTTACTAATGATCCTCTGTATTGGGCCACAGGAGATGTTTAATTATTTGAAATTAAAATTGATTGTTCTAAACTTGCTTCTCTATTTGTCTGAGTTTCATCTCATTTTGAACATTTTTTCATAATGTGGCATTTTCTCTATGAGGCAGTATATAAACGTAGAACTAAAATTAAGAGCATACTGACAAAAATAAGATTCATAATGGACAAAATTGCATCAACTCACAATACATCTTGCATGCTGCTGTTGGAGACCAAGATTTGTTTTTAGTTAAAATTTAATTTAAAAAAGTTTAATAGACATCAAATTTTACAATTTATAATTTTCTAATTAATTACATTTTATTAATAATGTAATTGAGTGTTCAATAATCAGTGTGTTGCTGTTTTTTGTTTAACTGCACAACACTGGGATGTAAATAAAAATTACGACTCACCAACCAATTAATCAGTGTGAATAACGTTTAAGTGACAAACGTTTTTGTTACCCCTTCTGGGTACTTCTTTATTTCCAAATGTCAACAGCCAACCTATTTGAATTAAGAATTGACCTGAAGTGCCCAGAAGAGGTAACGAAAATGTTCGTCACTTAAACGTTATTCACACCAGTCAATTGGTTGCTCAGTCGTATGTTTTATAGCTTTGTTTGAATTTGTAATTTTTACACATTAGGTAATTATTGTTAGCATTGCTACAGAATTGATTGAGCATTAGATAATTGTGATGATTTTAAGAACAACTCGTTAAAAATTTCAAAATTCACATTTTATTTCTGTTTAATTTCATGTGAAGATAATAGATTAGCTAGATCTATATATAACTCCTGGCAACTCAGACTTTGAATAAGTTGGAGAAATTTTTTGAAGAATTGTACAATAATTTAAAATTTTTTGACAATAGAAAAATTATAATTATAACAAAATTATAGTTAATGATATCCAAAAGTCAAAGTTATTACCGTAGGCAGTAAATTACTAAAGACTGTGTATTATACTGTCATGAAATTTTTGAGCTTATTCCCTAATAATAAATTCAACAGTACATACTAAGTAATCTCAGTAAAACTTCTATATAGAGCTGATCGTAATAAAATTACTGTTTTCTCTATGATGCAGAAAGGATCTTCAGAGAAAACAACACACTAATTCAACTTGGACAATCTTCACACTTATTAGACTTGTGCTTTACTGTGTAAAATCACTTGAAAATTAATGAAATAAGAATAAAACTCTTGAAACATTTATTGAATGATTGTAAAAGAACTATTTAAACAAAAATAATTTGGTAGTTATTAAATATATATTTTATATAATAATAAAATTATCTTGATAAATGAAAAAAAGTATATATTCCATACACAGTTTTTTTTTTACAAAATTTGTTTTTGTACCTAAATCTTGTACATTTTATTTTGAGATATTTAAAGTTTGGTTAGCTCTTATGCTGCTGAGTCCTAAATGTGAACGACAGTTTCCATAAATGATATTTAAGTTTTGAGCTTGTTTGATTATCATTCCAAAGTTAATGAAACAGTAGAAATTGGAGTTGTTCAGTTTAAGAATTATTTATAGAAAAATTAAATAGTACATTTGAAAGAAGATATTACCAGAAAAAGCCAAAATCTCAAAAAAGTTAAGTATTTTAGATACTGCAACATATAAAAGTTTGAGAACTTTGATTTAAATTGCCCAATTTTGAAACCATGCAAATTAAAAAAATATTAAACAGTTCTAAAAATCTCGTGTTCAACACTTCTAAAGTTCTAAAAATGTTTTGTTAGAAAAATAATTGTTAACATTATGCATTATTATTGTATCAGACAAAAAACTCGCACAAGTAAACTGGAACTATATACTAAACACAACAATTAACATTAACCGCTAATTCCAGTACTGAATGAACAAAAATTTTAATTCTGGAACGTTTTTGGCTTTGTAAAAGAAAACAATTCATTTACATCACACTAATTTTTACAACGATATAATAATAATTTATGCATAGCGATATTTTAAAACAATTATTTTTATGTTGTAAATATAACGATTTTTATATCGTATGGTATATCGTTTAAGTATTTTAAAAATTTGGAACACAGCTGTATTCGACAGTTAGAAGTTTTCAAATGATAGAACTGTTTTTTTGTGTGTTTCATCCTGAAGAGGGTCTCTAAAAGACAGCCAAAAATGTTCAAGCATTAAAATTTTTGTTCATTCAGTGCTGGGATTAGCAGTTAGGTGTTAATTGTTGTGTTTATTATTATTGTAGTTATTACATATAAATATTACTAAGTTAAAATTATACACTTTAAAATTAGAAATTTTTTAATTTTTAAATATTATTGTGTAGTTTAACATTTTAATTTAAATCATAATAATTAAAATAATCATAACTTTTGAAACAAAATAAATGCTAAAATAGTTTATTGACATTTTGCAGAAAGTACGCAAAAAGAATTAGGAGATACTGCTGAATTAGAAGAAGTTATAAATTTATTATCATATAAACCAGGAGAGCAGGTCTCTAACAAAACCTTATTACCTCCAGAGAGTGCCTTTGTGGGAGATATGTTTGGAAACCTTCCACCATCTCAACCCTGGCCTGGAGCCAGATTTAATCCTGCTGGTCAGACTTCATCTTCATTATTCTCATCATTATCTGCATATGATGGAAAGAGAACTTGGCCTAGAGTTGGGTGTGGTAGCAGTAGTGGAGTAACTTTCGGTTATGATAACTGGGTATGGGGACATTTTGATCCCCAATTTGGACAAGATTTAGATTGCCACCAAGTTAATCAACAACCTGTGTCTAATCAGAAATCTAGTCATGATGTGGTTAATAACGGAAATAGAGCAGCTGGTTGGGATAATAATGTAGCAAGGTATTTCATATTTTTAAAACTTTTTTTATGGCATTCTTTTTATTTTAACATTTTGTTAATTATTAATTTTTTTTAACTTTATGAAATTAAAATAATAAAATAAAAATATACTCTGTTATAAAATATACAGAGTTATATTTTATAATTCTATTTATATGATATATTCTTAACATATTTATCCTTTTAATAAAACTCTATTTTGTAATCTCTCATAAAAATTTTATATATCAGTTTTAATATATGTTGGATAATGACAAAAAAGATACATACAAGTGTCTCCCTACTTTCAGACCTTTCAGACTTAAAAACAATTTGTTTGTGTATCTAAAATTTAAATTTCATGCAAATTCTGAAGTTCTCTTGACACTCAATAATGTTGCATTGAAATTTGTGATGTTGAGTAATGATGTTTTTTGCTGCTATTGTTTTGTAATTTTTTTAATTTTATGATTAGTGCTTCAAAAATTCATCCAAAACATAATAGTAAATCTAGCAGTGGGGATAAATGCAAATTGTGTTGCTCTATTATCTAGAAACTAAACTGGACATTATAAAAGTAAGTGCACTAGGTGTAAAAACATTTGAAACATCTGCTACTAAGCAGTAGTGATCAGGTAAACAAGTGTAATATATTCTATTAAGTACATTGAAGGATTAAATACTAACAATAAGTTGTTATTCTCTGTACAAATGTACTTTCTAGGTTAGCTTTCAACTTATGGACATTTTGACTTACTTATAATAAAACCTTGGGAACTTAACCTGTTCATAAGTAGGAGAGAACCTGTATTTAATGTAGGGATTAGTTTAAATAAAATATTTAGTTTTGTATTTGATAAATATGATAGAATACACTACACCAGCGGTTCCCAAAGTATGTGCTGCGGCGCCCTGGGGTACCACGGCTTCGTCATAGGGGTGCCACAAAATGTCATAAAATTTTTATAATGTTAGAATTTAATGTACTTGTTGGAATTTGACATAGGGCAACTTGGGAAAATCTGCATTTAGCAAGGGAGCCTAGAATCAAAAAAGTTTGGGAACCACTGCACTGCACTATACTAAAATCACTAATGTGATTGGACAGTACAACCATTGCCAAGTGCAAAAATCAAATGTATCTACTGAGTGTTCCATTAAACTCTTGCATGCAGTGTATGACTTTAATGCACACATTAAAGTCATACACTGTGTAATGTTTGACATACATATGAGGGTCATCCCAGAAGTACTCAACCTGACATATAGACAGCAGTAGTTGTTTGAAAAAATTACTATGGTCAAAAGTACCAACCTTATAAAGCTTAAGTTTGAAGACATTACATTGTTTAGTATTTGTTTGACATCAATCAATAGTGAATGATCTCAGTGAACTTGTAAACATGGAAAAAATTGGTCATTGTTATGTGATACAATACTTTCATTTGAAAGGTCTCAGTCCAACCAATATCAAAGCTGAGTTAGATTCTACTCTGGAAGTGTCTGCTCCCTCATTTACAACAATAAAATATTGGATGGCAGAGTTTAAACAAAGCTGTATGAGCTGCCAAGATGAACATTGCAGTGGTCAACCAGATGAGGTGATCACACCAGAAATTAAGAAAATCCACAAAATGGTATTGGATGACCATCGACTCAGTGTGAGAGCTAACAGACGTGGTAGGCATTTCAAAAAGTGACGTACATTGCATTTTGACTGAAAATTTGGATATGAGAAAACTGTGCACAAGATGGGTTCCGGGTTTGCTCATAATGGAACAAAAACAGCATCTTGAGAATGTTTCAATCGAGTGTTTGGTGATGTTTACAGCAATAAAGCTATGTTTTTGTGTTGATTCATAACAATATATGAAACATGGGTCTATCACTTCATGTCTGAGGCAAAAGAACAGTCAAAACAATGGACCGAAAGGGGAAAATCGGCTCCGAAGAAGGCAAAGACAGTTCTATCTGCTGGCAAGGTTGTGGTGTCAGCTTTTTGGGATGCATGTGGGATAATTTTCATTGATTATCTTCAAAAAGGAAAAACAATCAATGGTGAATATTATGCGAGTATTATGCAGCACTTGAGTGATGAAATCAAGAAAAAATGGCTGCATTTGGTGAAAAAAAATGTTGTTTCATCAAGACAATACACCAGTTCACACATCTGTTATTGCTGTGGCAAAATCAATTAGTTAAGGTTCGAATTGCTTCTTCACACACACTATTTGCCAGATTTAGCCCCCTCAGATTATTTTCTCTTTCCAAACTTGAAAAAATTGCTCAGTGGTAAAAGATTTGCCAACAATGAAGAGGTGGAGTCTGCGGTTGATGGCTATTTTGAGAAGCTTGATGTTCCTCACTATAAACAGGATATTGAAGCTGTTGAACATTGCTGGGAAAGGTGTATCGAGCTAAAAGGAGACTATGTTGAGAAATAAAGATGTTTTCCCAAATTTTTTGTGTCTTTGTTAGGTCAGGTACTTCTGGTACTACCATCATAAGTATAGTTACCATGGATAAAGTATGCTATCTATCAGACCTTCAAAAAAACATGAGCATTGGCTTTTGGGCAAAGATGCTGGCATTTTTGAAATAGTGGACTTTCTGAAATGAAGTTTTTATTTCTTTGTATTTATTTTCATATATTTTTGCTTGTGGTTACATACTATGATGTCATGAGTAAGTAATCTCCAGATGTTACTGCACGTGGATGAAAAGACAAGTCTGATATGAAAATTGGATAGCGTAATTTCAGCATTTTTTTTTTATTGTTAATGTTATGGACAATTTTATTGTACTCATGTTTGTTACACTTCAAATAAAACAATATCATCACATCTGAAAATAAATACGAAGAAAAAAAAGAAACAACCTAAAAGAGTTAAATCTACAGAAACTTCATTTTTGCTAAACAGGAAATACCATCACAATTTTTAATCTCGCTTTATAAGCTTTAAATGTGAGGAATAAGAATAGTAATAATAGTGCTAAAGATATGGTAAAATAATAAAATAACTATGTTACACATTTAAAAACAACCAAAGTTGCAAATAATCGAACCCACATCATGTAGCTCCAGTATTTAGAATCTTATCTAGTCAGCTATGTCCATTCCAAGGATAGGTAGATCTTCTAGATTTATAAGCTAAACACTCAATTTTTAAAGGCCTGTTTTTCAGAAACATTTGAGAAGTGGGTCCTATTATTTTGATAAGGAACTATTTGTGTTTAGGGCTACATGCTCACCAAGTTTCATTAGAATCAGAGATGTGAACATCTGGAAGTCTCTTTGTTAGTGTCTTCTCCTACAATGGTACTCATTCATTGCAAAAAAACACCACCAGTCTGCACAGCAATACCAACATTTGACCTGGAAGATTGTCAATGAGTGGCTTTTCCAAGTCAAAGTTTCTGCTCCACCAAGTGGATGGGCATATCAGATGTGAAACATCTAAGAACAAACACCCAGACATGATTGTTGACTGGAGGCAAGTTGGTAGATATGGCAGTGTAGTCTAGGGAATGTTTTCATTGCATGAATTGGGTCCACTGATACTTCTGAATGCAAATGGTTATCTATTGATTGTTGCTGATCAGGTATCTTTAAGCAAGACAATGAACCAAGCCATATGGCCAGAATTGTTAATGAGTGTTTTAAGGAGTATGAAACAGACTTTTTTTCCATGACAATAAATTCCCCAGATCTCAAACCAATTGAACATCTATGGGACCACCTTTATGCCACATCAGATGAATGGATCGTCCATCAAATGACCTGCAGGAACTCCAGGACACACTACAATCTGCATGGGCACAGATACCCCTATCATCCCTTCATCAACTTGTTAAGTTATATATGCTGTGAAAGACACATTCTGGATACTGGATAGGTTGCCATAATCATAATAATATAACTGAACAGTGTATATACAGTATATTAATTTAAATGAGTTTGTTGGTAATAAGCATTTAATGTAAACTTTTTTTTTTTCTCCTTTAAAATACATACAGTAGAACCTCGATTATCCGGACTAATTGGGGATGAAGGTAGTCCGGATAAGGAAAAATCCGGATAATCGAAACAAATACTTTAAGTTGTCTTTTAATGATAATACAACACGTTTTCTGTTCGATGACATATCGGTAATATTAAAAGTAAATACTGTATTTAAACCGTGATCAAATTTTCAAGAAACAAACGTTCGTATTGAATTTGGACTATTACTGACCAACGCTAACAGACTACCTATTGTTTAAAAGGCCCTCTGGTGGTGCAAGAAGACGGATTTTATAAAATAAAAAGCAGT